GAAGAGTTTGCGTGTCTGAAAAACGATGGTTGTTAACAAGTGGCTGAATAGGACCACAGAAGTTGTGAAGGACGTTGTACGTCATTACGCCGAACACGTAAAAACTCCCACTAAGTTTGTTTAACCTGTTCTGCTTGAAAGCAAGTACCTGCGCTCTTGCAAACTGTTAAAACAAAGACTTCAACTTGTACAATTCTGAATCTGTATTTGTGAATATGGATCTTAAGTTGGCGTGACGTTGAAGTTGTGCGACCCTGCTGTACTCGGCTATAGTTTGTTTATAGCATAACGTCAGCATTTTGATTCTGGCGATTAGATTTATGATTAGGAAATTATAAAAGTTGGGCAGACATGTGGATATTATCCGGCTGAACAAAACGTGCATTCATCAAACAGGTTCGTTTTCCACAGACCTTATTTCGAGCTCTTTTCCAAAATCCTAAGGAGCCCCATGCGCAGTTTATTTCCGGGTCGGCCTACAAAAATGTGTCATCCCTGTATCACTCTATTATACCGAACAAAACCTGTAAGTATCATAAACGTCTGTTAGCCAAATATTTTATTTTCTGAAATATTTTCCGAACTCTAATGGAAAAATCCCATTGCTTTTTGTAGATGGGAGCCCTTGCGATTCTAACTTCGGGGACCGTTTACAAAAATACGTAATTACTGCGCCACTCTATTGCCCAACTATCACTGCTTAACCCCCTTGAGCAATCTTTGAAATGGAATTATTTTTCTAACGTGACTCGTTAAGTTTGAAAATCATTACTTATTACCCAGTCTATGTAACATATTTCTTACAATGTTCTTTGCTGGGTGTCATCACACCCAAACACTCACATATATGGTACATTACAGCTAAGGTAAAAAAAAACAGGTCAAGTACATTTTTATTTATAAAGCGTCTCATGATCCTTTTCGTATAGAGCAAGTCTAGACTGTGAAAACTAATATTTCAGTTTGAAACATTTTTGGGGCGCCTTTTATTCTTCACCACCATGACAGTCAAGTTTAGACCAGCACATGTTAACAAAATGTGCAGAGGCAGCCGGCTGGCCTGAACACACAATAGGGAGGGAGTCAATGAAAACATAACAGAACCCCACGGGCTCCTCGCTCATATGCAAAACACACACACACACGCACACGCACATGCACACACACACACACACACACACACACACACACACACACACACACACACACACACACACACACACACACACACACACACAGAGCGGCTGGTAAATAATTGCTTTGGCCTCACAGTATACGATTGTTACACAAAGTAATCCAACCAGAAATGAAACAATGTAGTGACTGATAGTTGTGAAATATAACTACATTATATCTGATACTATTGTTTTTGTTTCATTATAGTAGCATAATGAAGCTATGAGCAAATTAGTAACAGTAATTCATCCATAGGTTTTGACTTCCTTAAAGGTTTCACTAGGAGTCTGATGCGCTGTACATTTGGACTGAATGAACGTAGGGGAAATGTGAGCGAAATGTGAGGTGTAGTATGGCTCTTTGTCCTGTGGCACCTGTAATGGCGCGCATTTCGATGCTGCAGCATTGGTTTACTTGAGCCGACACATACGTGGGAGGGGGGGTTGCATTACAGGATAAGTGTCAGTGAGCTCTAGTGGTGGATGACTTGGATTTAGCCTCTAAACATATTGTCTCCCTTGTACTGAGAAACTATCAGGACAAGCCTGTCCTAAGTATCAGATACTGCAAATAGCAATTCTTCATATTGTGGATAAATCTGCAGATTATTTTCTTGCTTAATCGATTTGGTTATATGTCAAAGTATTTCGAAAAAAATTCCCATTACATCTTCATCCCAAGGACTCATATGTCCAACTTCAACAGTGCCATCTTTTTATCTTACAATGATAAAAGCACTCAAATAAATTCTGTGTTAGAGGACAAAGACTCTCCTTATTCTTTGTCAAATCCAGGCTTTTTTTTTGCCATTATTTTGTTGACATGTGTGTTAGGTATCTGTTCCGTAGTGTTCATTCTTATTCATTCCTAAGCACCACATGTGTAAATATGAGTGACCTATCAAAAGATACAAAATCATGCCTGAGCGAAAGACAGCAAAAACAACAGAGTGATCATAGTGCCTTTTTGGATGCTTATCTGAAAATGATATCATGTGCGTAATGAAATGTAAAGGGTTGGCACTGGGGGTGTATCAGCAGTCATCGCCTCCTGTCCCACACATCAGCATCTCCTAAAACGCCTGCTGGCAGCGGCAACCTCGGCTGACATGAGCACAAGAGGGGGGCAAGTGGAAAACTGTATGAGCCAACCAATCAGCTAAATTAAGGATGCTTCATGTCAGTTAAATATCAGTTAAAGTTCAACCTTATCAACACATTTCAGGGAGAAAACAAGGTGATCTTTCAGAATAAAATCAATGGGTTTTTCTAAGCAGTATCAATTCACCTTATCCAGTTTAAAATGCTTCCTCAAACCAGATAAGCTGATGCTATTTATCAGAACAACCAAACAGGACAGAAATAAGGTTAGTTATCAACAAAATGTCACATGATGAATAACTAGTACAGTTTCCAGTGCTGATCCACATGTTACTTATTCCAGTTGTGGATGTAGACATGAGAATAAATTACCATAATATTAGAACATCACATATATTACTATATGGTGAAGATTTTGGAGCACATTTATTTTTACCATAAGGTGTTTCAATTAGCTCTGCCAGTAACACTGCTATTTAACCTTTCTCTATATACTTTTTACATTTCTGCACAATACCACCTCTACTATAACTGCACTGCTCTTTCACTTTACATTTTAAATACTGCACATATTTCATTTTTAGAGTAAATTGACAAATATTCTTGTTGTCTTTGTTGTATAAACGTGTATATTCATTTTTCTTGTAAGCACTTCATTTGATTACATTTATTGTAAAATAGTTTAAATAATAGTTCTATATTTTGCTCCTTTTTCACAACGCGGTACCTCTTACTGTGTTTATGTATGAACCATTGTACACAAAAGCAATTGTATTTGTATACAGTATTTCATAAACTTGATTATAATAATATAAAAATGTGAATTGTTTTGGTGAAACTTCTCACCATATTTATTGAGATAATGTATTATAAGTGTTGCTGTTCTTAGTTTGTATTCTCATGGTTAATTGCAATTTTGCTTTGGATAAAAGCTACTCTCAGCTAGTGTCATGTAATGTGGTAAAAGTGAAAGGGTCCTTCCTTGTCCAAATTTAACTTCGTAAAAAACGTTATTGACTCTGAGAAGCCACAGATAATTGTCTAGTATTTGAAGTCTGTAGTTAAGTCCATAGTATATAGAGTTGTGGGGACCATGTATGTACATACAGTATTTGATATCGGGCTGCTATAAATCAAAACTACAGATAGCTCCTGAGGGTGGAGTTTTTTTAGCAGTCTCCCTAAACGCCCGTTCTCCCGCCGCACCTGCTCCTCTCTCTCCCGGCCCTCCGTCTCTTACCGTCGGCTTTATGGCACAGCTCCACCAAATCCTGGCATTGCTTCTGGAAGTCTGGAAACGCACGCCCGGTAAAACTATCCCGACCACAGCTGAACTCACAGAATGAACTTTCCCGTTAACTAACGGAGATGATGCTGCGAGCCCACGCGGGGTGATGATGTGCTGCGTTCAATGTCTACTCCGAAGTTTCTAGGTTGGACATAATTAAGTTGAAAAGCGGCTAGTTGTCGCTGAGTTACGCGTTTATGACCCAGAAAAAATAACTGAAATGTGTGTTGGTTGAAAGTGTTGTAACAATTAAGGGTCAAACATCTAGTTTTGGTTCCAGCAGTGAGGTGCTGTAGGGCTATTTATGGTTTATGATATTATTTATTCATGAAAATCTCGTCCGAGTTGGTTTTGGGAGCACCTGAAGGCGTCACACGCATTTGAAAGTGCGCAACTGCAAAACTGCGTTTAGCTGCTCTCTCATTACTCACTCTCTCTGCCCTACTGTGCAGCATGGTTTACAGTTTGGCCGTATTTGACACGCTACACTGAGAGGACTGAGATGTTATTTCCTGAATGTGTAAAATATGCTTGAATTTTAAAAGAAGGCTTAGTAGGATCAAACAAGTTTGATATATATTGCCTAGTATCAGGATATTCGTCCACTAGGCGGGGCTATTACGACCTAACGGGGCTATTACGACCTAACGGAGTTAGATTTGTTGGAAATCACATTATCAATATTAAAACTTGTTTTTTTTTTAAGTGCCACTTTCATGAAGACAGGCTTCATAAAGAGTTAAAGTTGTAACTCACATCTTTACGAATGGTTAATCCATATCATTAGGTAATGCTTTGTTAAGTATTTTACATTTTGAATATTTGTTTGAGTATTTGTAGAGCCATGATATATGAACAATTGTGTGGTTGCCCAAGTTATGAAAGTTTGTGATTCATTATTACATGCTAAATATAATGCTGTCAAATGGAGTTTTCACAATCTGGAACCCAAACGTTGTTCTATCAATGGTGTATAGCCCATTCATTAGGGCATTTGTCAAATTATTTCTTAAGGCTAATTGACACTGAATAAAAGTCCAGTACAACATTAGTATAATGTTAATGCCAGAATCTTTCTGAAATTTCAAAAAAGAAAATACATGGAAGAACCTGCAATAGGCTACATTTTCTTGTATGGTCAAATAGAATGAGTTTTTAAAGAGTGAGTTTACTTAAACTACCTCATATTAATGTTTTACTAACTAAGTGGTCTTATTCCTTGACAAAGGCTAGTCTCTATATCTCTTGATTCACAAGTCTTAGGTAATTCAGGCCACAGTAACATGAACTGTGAGTCTGTCATGTATTATGTACACAGAACCCACCAATTTCCTTCGACAAAATACGTTAGTGAGAGTGCATAGAGAGGGTTTATATAGTTAGACTTTTTCAATCATTTTTAAGAGAAAGGTTTCAGTGTTAAAAATAAAATGAACTGTGAGGTTAAAAATGTGTTTTTTTATTACACACAACAGTGTATGGTGTCCTAAAAAAACAAAAACTTAATTCCATTTGCCTTTCATTTTGGAAATGCAAGGGAATGCAAAATAAAACAATTAATTGAACTAAATATGCATAAATTAGCTAAATTATTCAACACAATCCATTATTAATTATTGCAAACTCTGTAATGTGTAAAGACATTCAAATCAAAAATATGATCACTTTTGTAAAAGACAATATTTGTATGTGTTGTTACTTTATAGATGATTACATGGAATATTCGAACAACTAAGTCTTTACAGTTTCAGAAGAGTCAGCCTAGGAGCTGGTTTTGGTTGGTCTGACCATCACCGAGCTGCCGGTGAACAGCGTGGTGTAGAACTCCATCATGAACTGGCTCTTCAGGCGGTGCTGGAAGTGGACATATCTCACCCCTGGTCCATAGCCGGAGAACACATGTGACACCTGCAGGCCATACAGTGAAACATTTAGATATAGTCTGATTATTTCCTGTCAGGGGACTCAGTGGATTAGTGTTTTTCTTTCAGTAAGGTTCCTAACGGAGTGAAAAGATTACGAAGTAAGTGGCAGCCATGATAAGAGCCATTTAAATTCTCTAGATGACAGGAAAAGAGCTGCAACGCTTCCTTTGATATCTTAATTAACATAAGAAACACTGGACCATCCTTTACAAAAGTGAAAGGGATTTTAAATGACCAACTAATGCAGTTCATGTAATTGACGGTGTTTATTAAGGATTTTTATCTTATGCCATATGTTTCTAAAATTCTTATATTTTTGAACGTACAACAATATGTTAAACCAAAAAGGCAAATTATGAACATTACCCTTGCAGCTGTAAAACTATCAAATACAGTTTCACAGTGTTTACTGAGTTGGGTGGTTTTTCTTAATCTATTTTTTTATATCACCATGCTCAGATGGTAAATGTGTAGGCCAAACAAGTAATGCATATATTGCAAAAGGCACGCATGCAACTTTTATTTCAATATTTTCATACAATCCTACAACTAATTGGGTTTGATGTGGGATTAATATGAGTGGACAGAAGGTTAAGGTAGAGTGTGAACATCCATTGTATTCTATTAAAGTATACATGGTTTCAATAGTTCATATACTGAAAATTGTAGTTTTTCCTATGACGTTTTCCAGTGAGGTTAAGAGAAATTGGTTAGAAAAAGACATAGGAGCTTATTTTTATTCGAAAATTGGACTATAACCAGTGACTCACCTCCTTCCAGTTGTGTGAGTAGTTGCTGAGGTCCTCACTAGGGTTGACACTGTGCTCTGAGATCACTGTGCTTTTGTCAGCACCCAGTAGCTTCACCTGCAGCTGGTAGATGGAAGCATGCAGCTGACTCTCCTCATACCTAACAAAATACAGATAATTAAATTTTTTGTATCAAGAAATCATCTCACATTTGGCATGTATAAGTGTTGACAGGTGGCAGCCCATTGATTGCTGCCACTGCTGCCAGATATAGAATAAAAGAAGGATAACAATTGATTCTACAGGTCTGCAAACACCAATAGATTTCCAACTGACTTCCATGAAATGTAATCTGGTATTAGTATAACGGAAGCAGTATAGAACATACTCTTTTTTTCTTCTTAGCAGAAGCAATACAGTCATTATTAAATGAAAATGTTTATGTCAATAATTGAAATGATCTATTAGGCTTTTAAGTAAGTATGTAATCGAAACTTGACCTTGGCAATAATTACCTGCTCCCAGCATATTACCCATTACTTTGTGAATAAAGTCAGGCTTTGTACAGCAGCATAAATATACAATAAATGTTAAATAGTCCTATATGATTGTATACATTTATGCTTGTTTACGAGCAAACTATTTTATTTGTCAAAAGAGATATGCACTTTTATGCTAGAGACTAGTAAATTAGTCATATCATAACACTATCTTATATTATCTACACAAATACACACACTGCAAGCAGGACATATGTCCATGCCCAACATATGCAAACATTCCATGAGGTAAACCTAAATGGCACATTGTGTATGATTAACTTTGAAACACACAGTACAGTGTCAGCTTCATGTGTAATAACAAGCTGATAAGACCACAGTGATAAGTATTCACACATGGGTGGGTGAGGTGGGTTAGGTGGGTGGTGGTGCTCATTAACCCACCAGTCTTGGATGAGGATTTCAGGCTGAAACTCATCCAGCAGCTCATCCCACAATCCCTCTGCCTTCAGGTCCACTACCTGCTCCATGGTGAACCAGCTGAGGACCAGAGAGACAAGAGTCACATCACAACATGCTCATTATTAATCATTACGTTTAAAATTATAGTATTTACCACTTATTTAGGGGGGAGATAAACAAAAACCTGTGTGGTGTTGTAATAAAGACATGCATGACAAACTTTTACTTTATTTGAAAATATCAGCTTAGTTCTGCTGATTCTTGACTTATTGTCATAAATTGCACTTAATTAGCAGACAACCACATAAGCAACATCTAGAAAGTAAAATCTGCTACAAGTCAACAGCTTGCCTATAAAATAACATTTCACTGAAATAATTATACAGTGAGTAGGTATGTCTAAGAAACCAAATGCCATTTAGTTTTATCCAAAATATCTGGAAGCTTTTTAGAATAACGTTTTCCCACAAGAGGAAGTTTGGATTGACCTTGGTAATGTAATCAATTTATTTTAATAATGGCTTTATATGCACCAGTTCAATCTATTGACGTTGGATGTCTACGATCATTGGTAATCACTGTTAAAAACATCTGCATGATTAACATATGATACTGTCACAAGTTAGACACATCTATTATTGTTTGTTTGGTTTGGCTCATCTAAACTCTCCTGTCATTTCAGATCCCGCCTTCCTCCAGGCCCTTCAGCTCACTTCCCTCACCTGGTCTTCCCAGCCCTTCCCCTCACCTGTTACTCATTCCCTCATCACTCCACAGTATTTATACCACCTCACTATCACTTGTCTTTTCCGCCAAGCTCTCCAGTGAGTGTTATTCTCTAGCCTAGATTTTTGTCCTGCCCGGTTTTTGATCCCTGCCTGCCTGTTTACGGATCTCGAGTTCCTGCCTGCTCCCTGTTTGGTTTTGGTTGCCTGTCTGACGGATTTCCTGGTTTGGACCCTGCCTGTCCCAGACCTGAATAAACTGAACATTGCTAAACACTGGTTGTATCTGAGTCGTGCTATTGGGTTCTGCTCTGTACCTGTGATCGTGGCAGATACAGGGAGACACTCACCTGCATTGAGGTAATTCACAGACCACGGCACCTTCTGGGATTCCACTCATATCATAGGGGAGGACTTCCAGGCTCGTGGTCCAGTCACTGAAGTCGCCTATAAATTAAAAGAGATTTTTAATAAAAACTGATTTAAATGTCTGTAATTTGTAGCTAATTATGCCACTTTCTCCTGCCTCTCACCATCAGGTTGGAATCGTGGAGGTCCATGTGTTGGAAATTCAGGCAGATCAGGATCAGGTGGAGGGGTGTCCTTACTCAATCCTGAGTGGGAAATGAGACAAAGAAACAACTGTTATTGGTACCACTCCTACTAAAGACACTGTAGTCACACTGTAATACTTCAAAGCCAAAGAATATATCTTTCTGACAGTCTGGGTCACTGGGTGTGTCCAACTAAAGTATCACTCAGCAGCTCATAATGCTCACGTCAGCATTTTAAGACACTTCCAGTGTAGACATGTTTTACAACATTTACCACATTTTTACCAAAATTAACAACGTGCAATTCAACTACCTGGTTCACTCATTCATTTATATAATTTTTTTGGTTTAATGTAATGTTATTGTGGGTATAGATACCAAAGATCTATTACGTTTCCTGCCACAAACAACAAAGTACCCAACAAAGACTTACCAAAATAAAGATTACACAATCAGTTGAGGTTCTTATAAGTGATGCACATAAACGTGTCATCAAATCCAGGGCCACTTTCTTCTCATCTCACTTCTCCTGTAGACATTTTGATATCTTTTAAATATTTTCTACAGGTTTTAAAAGAAATTGCTATTTACCAATTCTGACACCACAAAAAACAATTATAATGCCTCTATTTTACTGGGTTTTAGTGGAGATCATAAAAACCTGGAAACAAATATATCCATGGCTCCACAAGTGCTAAAGGAAAAAAGAGGTCTCGTGATAAATGTACCCTGTAACCTCAATTAACTCACCTTTAAATTGAGGGATACAGCTAATCAAATGTGATGCAAACTCATTGCATAAGTCAATTCATGTTTTTCCCGTGAATAACTGTCATTATTTGTTTGCCATTTTTCCTCTTGATGTGTTCAAGGTTCAAGGCTAGTTTATTTGTATAGCACATTTTAAGACACAGAGGCAATTCAAAGTGCTTCACATAAGCATTCAACACATACTAATTAAAAACAAAACGAACCAAAAAAAAGACAATTCATAAAAGCGATAAAATACTGGCTGCAACTAAAAGTGCAACGGTAAGGCACGGTTAAAGGTTTAAAAAGCTGCATTAAAAAGAAAGGTTTTCAACATTGATTTTTTTTTTAAAAAGAGGGTTGGGGCGGACCTCAGAATTTCAGGCAGTTTATTCCAAGCTTGTGGTGCATAAAAAATAAAATAAAAAATAAAAGCTGCTTTTAAGCTGATAAGGCAGAACAAAATTAATCATTTTAGTAAATAGGCCACAATGCACATAACTGTAGACCCTAAAGAAGAATTGATGAACTTGCAAACCAAACCAAGAAAAGCAATAAGTCATGAGTATAGTTTTGCATCACAGCAGGTATTCATGTTGCACAAAGCTGCTCAATGATGCTGAAAAAATCTACATGAGGAAGTCTGCCCCTTATTGGCTGAATTGTTGCAGGATCAAACTTTGGAAGCTACTTTGGAAACACCCATTCTCAAGTTGTTACTGTAACAAGTGAGCTACGTAGCCTACATCAACATGTAACAGTATCCGTATGGAACTTTGATCAACTCAATGAAAACTCCCTGGACAGAGTCATGTTTTGACAGTGTCGTGTTACCGTGAGGTGAAGGGTTCTTCAGTAAATTCCTCCCCAGCGGTCTGGCGTCAAACACGGACTTCCAGTCAAGGCTGCCGGGCATCGGTGCGCCTTGCAGGTTCCACTCAGACTCACACCTCTGCTTCCACTCAGACATGGCGTTGAAAGAGACTGTGTAATCTTACTCTGATTCATCCAGGAAGTCTGTGGGTATTTGTATTCTAGTCTGTAATCTACGCCACACCCCAGTGTTGCAATGGAAGCAAGGAAATGCATTGCACGCTGCTCCCTAACCTCTTAAAGCCACAGTAGTTAAATCATTTAAACACGCTTTCAGGAGTCACTACTTACTATGGAACGTTCTTATTATACATCCATGGTATGGAAGCCATACAGCTCCATCCATAAAAAAAACAATGGGTTTTCCATTGGATTTTGGGAATATTGCAGAAAATAATATCTAGGCAAACACACATTCATGATACTTACACGTTTTGTTCAGCATGATAATCTATTAACACAACTACACCTGTACAGGGGATTGTTGTTGACCCGTTAGCATCTGGTTAGCTATGCGCTAAAGGAGTTTGTACAACAAGTGTGGAGAGTTCTCTCCAGTCTCTGATACAGCTCAGGTGAGGTAAAGGACTCTCTGAGTGTTTTTAGATACTTAAGTTATCTCAGTGGGTCCAAACGGTTAGATCAAGATTTATGTAAACACATATTTCCAAGGCACACCGTTATAGATATAAAAAAATAAGAGAATAAATGAAAAACAGGTATGAAATCTTTCCAATTCATACTATGACAGTAAAACAAAAATACAGCTTAAAAGGTGGGTGATTTGTAAAATATGAATAAAGAAAAAGAAAATCTGTATACAGTTCTGTTTCATATGGGTGTTGAGAGATGTATCCATAGCTCTAGTCTTTTAATTTTGCCTTCAAAGTAGGCTACACCAGATTGATGCATTTAACTTCAATATTAAAAAAAAGAATCTTCGTGGACCCCCCTAGAGGATATTAGGTCCACATTCCACTTAAATTATGTTCACATGGATAGGATACTAAATAGGCTACATTTGCACACTTTTTATCGCAATATGTTTCTGTTTTCATGCCACAACTGTGCGTGTGCATGCACGCGCGAGTCATAGGTGCGCTCCGGTACTAAAAATAGCTATACACCCCTGATTCCAAGTAATGATGACCTTGAGACGAGTAAAATGCGAACTCATTTGTGCACCACTCTATAATACTGAAGATAAAATAGGTGTCTAATGACTAATGAGTCCACATTTTAGACCCAGGGACCACATTTTCTGCATGTCATCATCTCTCTCTTCCCTTTGCATTTTATCTGCCTCTCTGTAATGAAATTCAAAAGAACTCTGTGTGTAAAAACAAATACAAGGCTTTTTTCCTGTAACACCAATCAGTTCATAAAAAATACCTTTATTTTACTTCTCTGTTTATCTATCAATAGCTATATTATTGTTTCTCTCCCATATTTAAAGCAATTGAGGAAAAGTATAAGTATATATCCAATAGTCTTAGTCCGTGGGGCTCCACAGAGTTAATTTGAGAGTTATAAGCCCGAAAACAAGTTAAGTATTTGAATTGGAACTCTATTCTATCTTTTCTTAGAATATCATTACAATGACAATGTTATAGATCCCTGAACACACCTTATCACTTGTAGAGTGACATCGGTCAGCTTATTGTTTTGTTCCTAGGAACCCCATAGTAACGAGATTATATAGATACTCCAGCTCTGAACTTTGCACTGCTTACATCAATGTACCGAATGCTTTCTATAGACAGGGGACATTTATTGCACTCAAAATGCAAGCTTTATCTTTTGAAATGTAAATATTTGGCATTTACAAAGTCAAACCTGTATATATTATTTATTTCTGTATGTTTTATTTTCCGAATGTTATATGTTAATAAAATACATACATTTGTAGAAGCTCTGACAAAATAGAGATGAACAACTTTTATCTTTGATGACATAAGGTGTGTGTCGTTTATTTACACAGCTAACAACCATTGAGACAAACGTTGGAAACCATAACTACCCACAATGCATGGCACTCTCCAACTGTAACAGTGTAGTAAGAAGGTAAAACAGATAAGGCTCATAAGATAAAAGCACGTTTACTGCAGACAATGGGGTATTATGTGCACTTGTGATTTTATTGCCATATCAACATAGTTGTGATGTGTGAGCTCATTAATAATGACAGGGAAAGACAAAAATAGTAACATCTCTCAATTGTAAACAACATATTAAACAGTATAAAACAGATAGGTGACATCACTACCCAGTAGAACATGCATGCCTTAAAAGCAAAAAACAGCAGCAACATGTAACGACCCATTTGATTAAGTGCTTCCAACATCTGCCCTATTGGATTATTATTGAAGCTGCCAGGTAACCTGTTTTTAGTTTTAAGGAGGCAGATAGCTCTGGAGCCTGGTTGTTCTCTCTCTAATTAGCCTGAATGAGTAGGAAGGAAAATACAAAGGTTGTAGGTGTGAGTCTTTAAGGCCTTTCCTTTTTAGTCTTGAAGAGGTCTATTATGGGGGTGTGCCCTGCATTCAATAATTATGGATGCAGGGCACATCTCTCTGTCCAGTTATTTCCTGTCCCCCGCTGACAGGTTTTCAAACCAGAAAGTTATTATTGTGGGGACATATGGATGCTCTCCCCTTCTGCTTAATGAAACTCCACCAAACCTTCCCCTCTTTTACTGGTACTGTATTTGTACTGCAACTACTTCTATATTTTTTTAGGATTGTAAAGGTGAGGGTGCCTTCATCAGCTTTATCTGGTCCGACTGTAAACTGTGTTACTGAGCCGTTCCTGTTATCCCAGACTTCCCAGTATACAGTACGTACGGTGTCTTGCCATTCATTACACATGGCTGGTGATCTGCATTGACATGATTGTTAAATTAGAAATCAGGTTTGTTTTTTTATTCAGCAAGGTCACAGTGGAGGGCAGGATCAACACAGCAGATACTCTTCAAATGTCTCCCCCTTGTGGATTATAGCTGTATGTTTGACAGTGCAGACAGTAAACTCAACTTCAACCTGCAACATATTGGTAAAATGTCTACATTACAGTGTGTTACAAACCTGCTACTGCCAATCGGCTTACACCTCACATGAAGATGTAGAAAGCTCCAACATAATAAAGTCATGGCTGTTTGCTGACATCAGGACAGAACATCTACACAACTTCCATCACAGACTGCAACTCATGTGTCCAGACTTAAACAGATATTTTAAATAAATAAACTCTCTATTGCCTAATGTTTTGGTTTTGTACTTGCTGTTTGAATGCACTTTAGATTTGAATAAAACTGTGATGCATGATACCCTAAAGGCTATGCATAGTTTATAGTTTATAGAACGGGATTGGAACCTTAAAGAGAATTATATAAATAAATAATATGGACTAAGCAAATAAAACGCCTGGCAATAAAACAATTTACTGTGGAAAAAGACATGTATTATAAATGAATTAGCAACAGCCGATGACAGATAAACTACAATGCACTACAATAAAATAATCTTAGTTGTGTGTTATCTTCAATTCAATAAGTGTTACCCAAATAAAAAAAAACAAAGCTACTGCATACAGTTGAATTATTGTAGATTGTGAGTATACCTTCTATCAGTGTCTGTTTGCTTGGCTAACTCTGTACAACGTTTGAATGCTAAGAATGAATAATGTGGATTCTTGTTATGCTTTAACCACTGGGAAGTTTTAAGGCTTTAATATCTTTACACAATAAGGTAAAGACAATTGACATGCAGTTGTAGCCCCATTCATGCCACACACACCAAATAAATGATCATAACCAAATAATCTTTTTTTTGTATTTAAAAGAAATAGAATAGAATAATACAGTTGAATAGGCAATACAAAAGAACAAAGTAGTTAAAAAAGATGACAAATATAAGAAGCTGCAGCAGATGGATGTTTTACATATTGAAAACTGCACATACAGCTTGATGTTATGAAAGTTAATTTATAGTTCAGCTGTCCATCATGACATAAGAAGGAGGCAGAGCCCGAGTCAGGAGGGTGAATGTTTGGCAGAGAGCCAGAGAGGCAGCAGGGGGCAGCAGACACTGTCCACAGAGCCAACTGCTGCAGAAAACACCCTCTGCCATAGTAACATAGTTCTTAATTCACACAGTACACTACAGCGGGGGGCGTACTCAATTAAAATGCGTCTTTTTTGATAGAGCAAAAGTAGGACAGCTGAGTCTTAAAGTTGTGTAACAGACATTCAGTAATATGATCTCAGCTTCCATTTGTTAGACATGTGTTACTGTACTGTACTGTACTGTACTGACAGGTGTTTACAAAATGTAGACTGCAGTGTAGACTTCTTAAACCCTAGGATCAGTGGCAGTAACAGAGTCTGTTTTTAATGTTTTATAGCGCAACGCCATTAAAATAGAAAAGTAATACAACAAGTAGCATATGTGTGGAGACTGCTCTATTTATATTGCAAAAATTACAACCTTAATTACTTGAAAACAGTTTTGAGCACTTCATTGCAGACATATATGGTGTGATAAATTCCCCACCTGCTTATGTCAGTATGCAGTTGGCACACCTGTTGTCTACTCTCGTGCTCTTGTGCATTGTGGGTTTACTGACCACTGTTTGTTGGGGGACAGTGTCAGCATCAGTCTGTTCATTGGACTGGCAGCTGTGAGGAGTACCACCTGCTTTAAGTTGATGAAGAAGAATCCTCTCTATTAATATTACTACTGTTGTGTTGTATTATTTCTTCTTGAGCGTATATTTGCGCTTTGTTTATTTAAACATTCACAGGTTTACAGAACACAACAGATTTGATAGATAAAATGCATAATGAAAATGCTGAAATGGAATGTACAAACACAATGCACTGAAAATAAAACATCTATTGTTCCCATGCCAGACAGAGCCCTGCTGTTATTGTCCTTAAGCAATCATGTTTTGAGTTGAAGAAAGGACTCCAATGTTTATACAACTGAAATAGTTCTTCTCTTGCTCTTGAAGCTGAGAGCTTCAAGATGAATGCATCTCCATTCCACATGCACTGCTTTAACACAAATGACAGATGACTGGAAGGGTGAACTAGATAATAGGAAGTTAGTGGGTGCAGTACTAATTGATTTTAGTTCTGCTTTTGATGTCATTGACCATTCTTTGTTGTTACACAAGCTGGAATAATATGGTTTTAATTTTGATATGAGGTGG